GTGAATTATATTGAACATGAGATACTGATGGGACGATATGGCTGAGAGCACATAGCACATGGCAGCTTGGGCACCACCTCAAGTCAATTTTGGAGCTGATACCTTCATTTACACTAACAGATAGTTTGAGAGATGTGTCTTACTGAAATTTTAGCTTCTGCCAAACTGAACACATGGGAAAACCAAACATTTCCAGTTAACATGCATCGATGAGTACATTTTGGCAAGCAGTCTCATGGCAGCATCTTCAGGCCCAGGACTGGATCCGTCAAGGAACCTCACTGAGTATTCAGCAGGGAGAATCATGTGAAATCCCCGTGTTTTCAGTCAGTTTTCCCCCGCTTGAGATGTTTCATGGCCAGGGGCACAGCGTGTTACTGTGCTAGCCTGTCACTCTCTATGAGCAGATCCTGTGCATGTCCCATCCCCAGGGACCTGCGATCACCCTTGTATTTCTGCAGGCAGGAAAGACGTGCAGCTCTGAGCCCAGCAGCCACCTCATCTCAGGCTTAACAGACAATGTCTAACCCAGCCCAAGCTTTCTGCTACGAGCGAGCATCCCCCATGTTGCTGCCTGTACGGCGAACGGCGCCGAGGGTTGAACTGGGGCTGCAGAAGGCTTTCCCCTCTCTGCCACCGCTTCGCTCCCCCCAGCCCCTGCTGTGGGTGGGCAGGAGGGATTTGCTCCTGCATCCTTCCCACTATCGGCTCTGGGCAATGTCCCCCACTGTAGCCACAAGTGCCCCAGATCCCCAGAAGCAAGCAGGTACCTAATCCCTCAGTTGCATCATTCCCGGATGCGTTCCAGCGGTGCTCACCCTGCTCAGCAATTCGTTAAGGCCCCCTCGTTCACCCGCTGCCCAACCTGCAGTTTATCTTTCTCATTAAGCGAGGAAGGTAATTGTTTTCCCTAGAGCACAGCTCAGCCTTTCAGCCGGAGAAAACCTATTAAACCCAAGAAATCACACAATAAATGGAGGCTATTTTGCACGACCGCATTGCTGATCCATCAGAGGAATGCAAATCAATAATCACACCCGTCAAGTGACCAGTCAGGTGTGGTTACTTCTGCCACTGTGGGCGTCTCTGATGAGCTTTTCTATCATCTCCAGCAATGCGAGGGTTTCATTTCAGTTGCGCCACCTCGTTTGTACCCCAAGGAAAATGCCAGTTTTGATCCGGCAGCTACGTTATCAGATTCTCCTTCACGCCAGGGCTCGGCTCTCTGGAAGGAAAACAAAACGTGCTGCGAATAACCCGCCTCGAGCATCGCCGCCTGCATGCGCCCTCTCCAGAGGGCTCAGCGACCAGGCACCACGGACAATGTTATCTCAGCACCACCAGTATCCTCAGCTGTGGCTGGGATAAGACGAACATGCCCTGTTAATACAAGCGACAAGCAGCAGAGGGAGGGACAAGCCTTATTTCTTGACTTTACAGATGTGTAATAACGGGCTCTATTAGTTGCACTGGTGTGTATCCCAGGCAGTGAAACGGCACTGGATTATTTTCCTCTCTTCGCTGCTCCACTTGTTCATGCTATTGCTAACTAAACGTGCTGCAAGCATAATAAACGACAAGAAGCCTATTCGCAACGTTACGGATCTTTCTGCTTTATTCACTGAAGAGTTGCATAAAGTCCAGGCAAAAATCAGTGTCGCCCGCTTTCCATCTCCTCCTGTGCCCGTGTTTTTTGTAATTTAAAACTCATTTTCAAGGAGAAGTTTCAAGGCAGAGGCAATCCGCTGTTGCAGTTGGATGTTAAACTGGTGCCCCGTGCTGAATCCACCCCTCGGTTCG